TGCTAAGGACGATCACGCCGAGTTAGGAAGTTCCATGGCGGGGGAGTTCTCTTGACATCCGTGCTAGCCTCACTAAGCATCCTACCAACCGTCAGTCCAATCATCGCTGCCGTCCCCATGGCAGCTTCAATCAAGACTCCATCGAACAGGTTGCAAGCGGTAGCCCTCCCGCTTGAGCCTCGAATCGCAAAGCCGACGTCTCATGCCTTCCTCGGACCTGTAGGTGGCTGATTGGTTTGTAAAGCAGTTCCCGGGCGAGAAGGCAGAGCCCAGCGGAATTCCAGCATGCTCCCTAGAGCATACACCGATTCAACATCCTTGTGATCTTTCAATCTTGAGGTCCGATGCTTGTGACTTAACTAGTTCAGTTCGTAGTTGCATGTAGATCTGTCCGGATTGGAGATTGGAAGAATCGGGGGTTCCGGAAGGGAGTCCGGCTTGGGGCCGTTTTGCCATTCGCAGTTTCGGCTTTGCGGATCCCACTCCGAGGCCCTAAGCGCAAAATCTACGCTGCTTACGCCTACGCGCTGGCAGAAATCCTCAGTGAAGCCCTAAACCCTAAACCCTAAACCCTAAACCCTCAGTGAAGCCAAGCGCAAGTCAGCCTGAAAGCTTCTGAATCCGGCACAAAATTCCCACAGCCCCTGGACCCCAAAACCGCCGAAGATAGCCCGAAGGTAGATCCTACAGAGATGTTATGGCTTGATTGAGAGCTGGGACCACCGGCCTCAACCCGGGTTGTGTTTGGAGGTCCGTTTCTGCAACCAGCTGGACCATGCCACCTCGGGGGCGCCATCCTCGGCACCTTGAAGTTTCAAGGTTTTGATTCGGGGCGGATAGCTTAGGGCACCCTGTAGCCGAAGCCTCCGTCTTCCACAAACTCCACCAGCAGTCTTGCAAACCTTACCACAGAACTTAAACCCTAAACCCTGAAACCCTAAAATCCTAAACCCTAAACCCTAAACCCTAAAACCCTAAAACCCTAAAACCCTAAACCCTAAACCCTAAACCCTAAACTTGACTCGAGATCTGCCACCGGACCATTCGCTGTTCCGGAGCCGAGGTCATCCTCCTCGCCGCAAGCAAGGCCGGCCCCTGGTCGCTGGCGATGTGGTTTAGGGTTTTAGGGTTTAGGGTTTAGGGTTTAGGGTTTAGGGTTTAGGGTTTAGGGTTTAGGGTTTAGGGTTTAGAATGGGGGAATAGGGACTACTACAAGGGACCTTAAGGGATATCACAGGGATCCATTCCCACATTCCCTACTAAGCACCAGACAGTTCTTCAGAGATTCTCCGACTTCTGCTGTATAGAGTGGTCAGAATGTGTGGCAGCCCAGGCAAGTTAAGCCTAGAGCTGCTGCAAGTTGTTCTCCACGTCGAGCCCCGCTGTATCTCATGTGGTTGGCAGCCCTTGCCTCATGAACCCTGAACCCTAAACCCTGAACCCTAAATCCCTAAACCCTAAACCCTAAACCCAAAATCCCTAAACCCTGAACCTGACGCCGCAAACCCTGAAGCCTGAAGACACGAACCCCGAAGGCCCGAAAACCGCAACTCCGAATCCGGCAACCCCCCGGGCTCCAGTCATCCGAAGAAACTCTGCTCCAAAATTTTGAGTCCCGAGAGGATGTGTTGGGTTGGATCAGGATTTCCGAGGTTTAGGGTTTAGGGTTTAGGGTTTAGGGTTTAGGGGAATTGCTAGTCACCAGCTGGCTTTCGACAGCGAGCTCAAAGGAGTAGGTAGTGTTTCCGAGCCGCTTGGCCGAGACTCGTTGTGTTGAATCACCTGATCTCGTAGACCCGGGCATCGAGCGCCTTGCTTTCGGTAGGCGGCCGCACGCGCCGCGGTCCCAGACCATCCGACGAAGTTTGGCTCAGGTTTTGTAGTTTGAGCCTTCTTTTCTCTCTCACTCTTTGCCGGTTGACTTGGGCGAAGTGGCGCCAGGGAGCCTCTACCTCCACGTTTTGTCATGTCAAGGTTTTTGCTGGGTTTGGCCACCCGAAACTAGTTGATCTCCCAGTTGCGAAGCGTAGCGCCCCTTATGAGGATCGCCCCCTCAACACGAAACCTAGACCCCAATCCGTAAAGCCTGCAGCCCTGAATCCAGGCTTCCTGCCTCTGAAGCGACCCTCCGAGGTTGGGAGCCAGCTCTTTGAGAAGCGGCAGGTGAGCAAGCCAGGGACCTCAGGGTTTACGGCGACGATGATGATTATAATGGTGATGACGGTGGCGATGGCAATGATGGTTCGTTCGAGCTTCTTTAGCCGATGGTGAATCACAGCCGCGGGTGGGGTGCCCGACGTCAAGCTTGGAATTTTTGGTCTCTGTGTACTTTGATGATGAGGCATCGGGTGGATAAAGAGTGTTCTTCTTTCCTTGCGCTGCCAGCTTTCTAAAGTGCCCCTAAACCTAAAACAAGCCAAATACAAAGACGAAGCGACACTCTAGAGCCACACGGACTCCACGCACTCCCACCTCCCAACAGTCATGACTGCTGTTCTCGAAGACTGAACCCTGTCATTCCAAGCCCGCAGAGACTAATCTTGAAGGCTCCAAACTGGTCCAAGGCCGATTCAGAGCACCTCGAACCATGGGATGTAGATACTGATGCAGATCGGACTCTCAAGAGGATGCTCCTATGACTGCGTTGTACGGATATGGGAGTTTCCGAAAATAAGGGTACCTTATTTTGGGGTCCTTATAATAACGATCCTACTATTTAGGGTGCTATATTAGGGTCCCCTAGTTTCGGAACCCTAAACCCTAAACCCTAAACCCTAAACCCTATACCCTAAACCCTAGACTGGATCCGCCTCAAGCCCCGAAGCCTCAACCGAAAGCCCCGAGCCCGGAATCCCAAATCCGATCCGAACCCTGAACCCCACCATACGAAAGCCCAGAATTCTAAAGACCACATGAAACCTGAGTCCAGGTTGAGCCTGATGACACGACACCATCCGAAGCAGCTGTTGCGATAACTTTGCTTCACAGTGCGCCAGCTAGGCGAAGATAAGAAATGATACGAACAAGAACAGGTGCTCTTCTTCTCCTCCTCGTTCCCCTTACTTCTGCCCCTGGTAAGACAACCCTAAACCCTAAACCCGAAACCCTCCACCCTAAACCTTAACTTGCGCTAGAAGACTGGTCAGACAGCAGGGAGGATGCGCGAAGCTCAGGTCGTACCTTGCCATCGTCGTGGGCCACCCGCCGTGCCCTGGTCTTCACTGGGCGTTCCCGGTGGTTGGGTTTAGGGTTTAGGGTTCAGGGGTTCTGGGATTCAGGGGTTTAGGGTTTAGGGTTCGTTTTGTTGTTTGTGGTCGCAGTGGTTGCCTGCAGTAGTCGTAGTGATGGCAAAAGTCCGATGCTAGTACAACCGCAGTAGCACGAGCTACTCGCAGTAGGTTTGGTATTTTTGCTAGTGCTGCTAGTGCTCGTCTTCGTGCTCGCTTGGAAGTCGGGGAGGAAAAGTGAAAGTAATGGTGGTGTTCATGATTTTGCTGATGTTACTCATGAAGGAATGCTGCAGCTGACGACGACGATGCATCAGTCGTGTCATTCTTAGTTCTGTGCTAAAACCCTAAACCCCTAAAGCCCTAAAGCCGTAAAGCCCTAAAATAAACCGTTGCCCACCGTTTAGCCACTGCTGAGCTCAGCCATCCACACGTCTTGTTGTCAGGTGGAAGGATGCAGAGGTCCGTTTGACGTACCGCATTGCCGATGGGGAAGGCCAGCAAGAACTAGATCTATACTTATGTTTACTTATAACCCCAAATAAGGGACTTATAATCTTATACTATGTCCCATGATCCTCCAAGTATGTGATCTCGTGTGGCATGTCTGGCCCAGATGGTTCTACACTCGTCAATCCCATGCTTGGTCTGGGGCTGTTCTCATCACCGTCCATGTGGTGTCATGTCGAGAAAATGGACCCCCACCAGCTTGCAAGCCGTGGATTTCCAAAGCCCGAACTCCACTGTACTTGAAGCCCATAGGTGTTGTAACAGAAGCGTTTAGTTTTTGTTAAAATAGGGTTTCGTGAAAACCTCTGTCCCGAAATCCGTGAGCCAAAGTGCAGGCTTCGCGCGTCGCGTGCCGGCGGCTGAGGAGCCCGGTGAGGAGGCGACCGAGGGAACAGCGGGGGAGCTCCGGAGCTGGAAGGTACCAGAAGCCCTAAACCCTAAACCCTAATCCCTAAACCCTAAACCCTAAACCCTAAACCCTAAACCCAAGATCTATCTAGGGCTGAAGGCTTGGGGGCTGCCTTTAGGGTTCGGGGCTGTGGGCAAAGGTGGGCTTTAGGGTCTAAAAGCCTTTGAAGGCTTCTGGCTTCCCAGAGTTTCATACCTTGATTCAAAGGACTCGGGTGGAGGATGGGTCGAGATCCCGAATCTCGACATCACGAACCCTGCAGCGCGAAGTTTGACCTCAGGTAAGAGCCGGCTCCTAGCAAAGGGCGTCCAGAGTCCATAGTAAGCATTTTCCGAGGGTTCCTCAGAAACATTTCGTTGAAGCTCCCACGACCCTCGAGGAAACCGCATGTTCCTGCTGGGTGGGGTTGGGCCGGGAGCTGTGCCCCTTCAGACTTCCCCTCATCCCTTTCCTGTTTCCCGTCGTGCGTGAACGTCAGTCCAGGTGTATGTTGTTGAAGTAAAGTGATTGTGAAGTTTGCAAATTCTTCGAGTTTCGGTTTGATGTTCATATGTTTGGGTTGAAGCAGTTGCTTGATACAGTATGCATATCAGCTCGGGCTTCGGCTTCAGTGCGGCCCTGGTACTATTTCTCAGCCCCGCGTAGAATATACCGGACCCTTCTCGAAATATGGACCACAGGTTCCAAGGTTTCAGTGAATTCTTGAATGTGCAGATGTACAGTACTCCTAAAGCTCCGAAGGCATGTTCCACATATGTAAGCATTGCAGACCAGACGCGAATGACGCAGCGCGCTTGGGTCGAAGAAACAGCTGTTATCCAAGTTTGGTAGCGGAGCTTGCTCCTGCGCCATAGGCTACCGAAGGATCTTTGGATCCTTGGGCCTCCCCGGGAGGCAGCTGCACTTCGACGCCCGCACCACGACTGTGCTCTACGTCTTCGTGACCACTTGGCTGTTCTTGAACAACACGGGCATCCACCTGGCCAACAGCCACGGAAATTCGAAGGAGCGACCCACCTCCGTGGGCGACTCTGCCAAGGCGAGCAGCTGCCTGGAGTGCTGCAATTTCTCCACTGGCCTCGGCCAGGAAGTTTTTCCCTACAAGGTTGTGGACTACGAGAAGTTCGACGAGAAATTCCTGAGTGGCAAGGCCCTCCTCTTCTACCTGCACCCCGACGGGCCCCTCACCTACCTTCGCATCAGCTACCAGAACGAGAACTTTCAGGACTACGAGATCGAGGGAAGCCCAGCAGAAATGGCTTCTCGGGTGAGCTCCGGTCCGGGAGCAGGAGGCATTCCCTTGCACGAGTTCAGAAAAGATGTTCCGCCCGGCTGGGCCCCCAACATCAGCGATTACCCTCTTCGCTTGTATTTCGAGCGGTTAAAAGTACCGCATCTACGAGGGCGATGACACCATGGTGGGTCCGCTTGTGGCGGGCCGGCTGCAAGGGAAGGCTCAGCGATTGGGCATGCAACTCAGATTGCCGAGACCAGATGGGGGCGTTGACGTCGGAAGCGACGCACTAGTGCGTCTCAGCGTCGACGAAGTTCGCGACCCTCAGAACCAGGGGGTCATCTTGCAACACTCCATTCCCAGCGGGATACAAGCCTTATGCAACAGCCTCAAGGATGCCTTCGGAGTGAGCGACCAAGAGCTTGTGTCCCAGAGCATAGAAGCTTTCTTCGAATTCCGACGAGGCAAGATGAGCTTTCAGGAGTACGCGATCGAGTTCGACATCCGCCTGGAAGAAGCAGTTACCCGGGCGGGCTTGGACTTGAACGACGTGGCCAAGTTCTACTTGTTCTTCCGGGGCAGCGGCTTACCGTACAAGTTCATCGAGGACATCAAGCTGCAGCTCCAGGGAGATCTTCGTCGGTACCAGGAGGCCAGAGTGCTGGCGCTGAGGTTGATTACCAAGAAGGACGATTCAGGTGAGACCTTCTTCGAGGACACCGAGAACAACCTCCCTGCGGAAGATGGCTGGGACAGCCACTCTTGGACCGAGGATGGCTGGTCCTGGGTGGAAGACGCAAGCCCGGGCCATCAAGCTGAGTACTGGTTGGACCAGGACTTCTACGAGCCCTACGACGACGGCGCCTACTATGATGAAAGCTATGATGACTGGTATGAGAATGAAAGTTGGACTGAGCCTTGGGATGAGCAGCCTCAAGGGGAACACGAAGCGGCCTCTTCCTCAGAGCCGGCAGTTGATGTGAACGAGATGTACCCGGTCAAGGGGAAAGGCAACAAAGGCCCTGGCTGCTCAATCTGCGGTTCCAGATGGCATGCTGCAAGCTCCTGCCCGGTGGGAGCCAACCCAAGCTACGGTGGCGGCAAAGGAAAAGGAAAGTCGAAAGGCTTTGGCGGTCCCTCTGGATGGAAGGGCAAAGCGCGGAAGGGCTTCGGCAAGTCCAAAGGCAAAGGCAAGGGCAAATGGACCCAAAAGGGTAAGAAAGGCCGAGGCTACTACGGGTACACCATGGAGAAGACCCTTGTAGGCAGCTTCGGCGAGTCCAAGATGTCGTCGACCCCTCCGAGAACAAAAGTGGTACACTTCAAGTTGGACCACGACGACTCGCCGGTCTTGCCACTTGGAAGCCGCCCTCGCGCTGAGACCGAAAGTCCCGAGGATGCCGAGACAGCGACCTCCTCCTCCTATGCCAAGACGCTCGACTTCACCTTTGCAACGGGCATCTACAGCGATTCCCTCAGCTACCACACGGTTCTTGGGGTTAAACGCCGGGGACTCCTTGTGGACCCGGGTGCTGCCAGCGGCTTGGTTGGATCTGAAACACTACGTGACCTCATGGAACATTGCGTCCCGGGGAACAAGGAGCATGCAGTTCAATGGCGGTACGATCGCACCAACAGCGTCAGCGGCATCAACGGCACACCGGAGCAGACGTTAGGAGAGGTCTCTCTCCCACTCAAGATGGCCGAGCTGAACAGCACCTACTCAGCAGAGGTGATAGGAGGCGAGGGCTCATTATGCCCCGCACTGTTGAGCAACCCGGCACTTCGCAAGCAGTCTTCGGCCATACTCACCAACCACTTTGAGAACGGTGACGGAGTGTTGGTGATTCGCAATGGCAAGGAGAATGGAAGTACTTGCACGTGTTTCTCACAGACTCGGGCCACTACTTGCTCCCCGTTGATGAACAGGCTCCTCTGCCCATCGACGCCCGCAAGAACGTGGAACAGATGCTTTTCACATGGTCAGAGGAGATACAGGAACGCTGGAGCGACGTTCGCCACTGTTTTCTGCAATGTCGGGAACATGAGCGGAGTTGTTCCAATGGACATGAAGCAAGAGATGCAGGCTCCAGTCCAAAGACTTTCTCCACTACCACAGAGGTCAAGCGAGAAGCAAGAGATGCAGGCTCCAGTCCAAAGAGTTTCTCCACTACCACAGAGGTCAATCGAGATGAAGCAAGAGATGCAGACTCCAGTCCAAAGACTTTCTCCACTACCACAGAGGTTGAACGAGATGAAGCGAGAGATGCAGACTCCAGTCCAGAGACTTTTCCCACTACCGCAGAGGTCATGAAAGATGAAGCGAGAGATGCTGGCTCCAGTTCAGAGACTTTCTCCACTAACACAGAGGTCCACGTTTTTAAAGATGTGTCGTCAGCATCGGGGTCCACTAAGTCCATGTCGTCAGCATCGGGGTCACCTGTCAGCAAGCCGTTTCTAGATGGTCCTGATGTGAGAACTACGAGAACAGAGGACTTTTGGACCCTGGACCGCGAGTACCTGACTCGACACCACAAAGTAGCTCGTAGGATCCTCTTCACTCCGAACTGTGCCATCGACTGCCCCATCGAGCTCTCCCAGATCCAAGGAAGGAGACTCACGGAGATCCACTACGTGCCTAGGAATGCCGCGGGCAGGGTACTGGAAGACGACTGGATCACGGCTACAGCTCCCAACTACGACCTCGGCAGCTTGTGGACAGGGACTACTCGATTTCGGCTCCAACCACCTCCTCTACCACCACGACCGTCGGCGGCAATGGCTACGGATGTTCATGGCGATGGTTTGGAACCCGACCTGTTCCCAAGCTATAGTGGGGATGAGTTCCAGATCACTGGTCAGAAGACCGAAGGGAACGAGCTCGTCACTACTACCGCGCGATCCCCGAGGAGTTCTACACGAAGTCTGGCCGCCGCCCGATCACTCCAAAGAATGTCTCAGCATGGGTGAAGAAGGCGGCTGGCAAGAGCCTTCGGTTTCAGTTTTGGGAGTTGTGCTCTGGATCCGGCCGACTTTCCTTGTGCTTGCTGATGGCTCAGTTCATGGTTGGTTTTCCGGTGGACTACAGATACTCCTGGGACATTGGATACGCTCCCCACCAGGCCTTGCTTCAACAGGTGCATCACCAGTTCTCTCCCGACCATCTGTTTGCCTCTCCAAGCTGCACACCATGGTCGGTGGCTTCGGCAAGCAAGGACAAGGCCAGGCGAGATGAGGAGCGGCGGTCGGAACTTCCTACTCTTGAGTTCCTCCACGATATGTCGCTTAGCCAGCACAACCAGGACAGGGGCTTTACCTTGGAGCAGCCTCACTCTTCGGCGATGCTGCGAGAAAGCCCCGTTGCGAAGCTGCTGAACCACTCCGGGATACGGATACAGCACATAGATCAATGTATGCTGGGGGCGACGGATGAACTCCAGCGTCCAGTCCGGAAGGCCACGGCCTTCCTGAGCAACCGGCGCTGGCGTCGCACCATCAGGCGATGCAATGGCCATAAGGGACTTCCCCACGGCGAGCTTCAGGGCCGATTCAAGGGATGCTGCAGGACAGCTCTGGCAGCAGTGTATCGAAAGCGGATGACACAGCTGATTTCCCAGGATTTGTGGGCCATTCTTCGGCCTCTACGTGTCCTACCTGGCCGAGGACACTCTTTTGGGCGCACGGTATCTACTACAACTGTGAACGATGTCAACTTGGACGGGCTGCTCCTGCAGGCTGTGAACACACTATGGTGCCAGGGGAATGTCGCTATGGTCAGCCTTCGTTAAGGCAGGCAAGAGCTCGACGTGAAGCACCACCAGCGACACCAACGACGACTACTACGCCCGCTCCGAGCTCTGCTGCGGCTGGGGCACCAGACCGTGCCTCTGGCTCCAACGAGGCGGCCCCGGCTCGTATGTCTCGATCAGACTTGGAGGATATCACGGGGCCCTTCAAGTTTCTTGCTCGAAGCGGCGACTACTCTCGAGTGTCCCTGGAGGTGCACTCTTCCTTGACGATTCGCCCGGAGCCCCAACTCTACCTCAAGGCCGCCATGATGCAGCTGATTGAGTCGTGCCTCGAGATTTTCCAGGCCACGACTTCACGGGACTACGATCACTGGTTGTCGGATCCAGTGCTTCTGCGCGTCTTTCAGGACGTGTTCCACGAGATCATGAGCGTCCTGGGCGTCTTGGTTTCGTTGAGGCCCTGGCATCGCAAGGTTCCTGATCCTTACTTGAGTTCGGCCTGCGCTCCGATGCGATTGCTAATCAGCGGAGAAATTCGTTCTTGGAAGATTCACGGTTTGGAAGATATGAGGGTGCTCTCCCATCATCAACTTCATGCTCCAGTAGAGGAAGCGGATTGGCACGTGCACCTCTTTGGCTTCTGTCAGGATGATCCAGATGTGGATCGTGACGTGCCGGGCTCATCCTCTGCGTCTGCACGCCCGGCTGCGGTTCCGGTCGAAAGAGAAAATGATGGGAGGAATGCCCCTTCTTTGCGACCTCCACAACCACCTGTTCGACCGGCGCAAGGACCTCCTCAACCACCAGCAGCCGATCCTTCCCCAGAAGAAGAAGGCCAAGGAGAAGAAGAGTTTGATGCGGCCAGACCGGAAGCTGACGAGGAGCCGAAAATCCTTAAGCCACTCTTGGACTTCAAGAAGGTTTACAAGCGGCTCCAGAGTGAGATCGTCCAAACAGATCCGGTGACGGCCAAACGTCTTCTCTTGGGTCTTCATGAGAGGTTCTATCACTGCCCCATCACCGACTTCAAGAACATGTTGTTGCGGGCTGGGCTGTCCTCCGACATCTTACCACTTGCCGAGGAAGCCGTCATGAGCTGCTCCATCTGCCGGAAGTACGCGAGGCTTCCCAACAGACTGCAGATCAAGATTGGGTCAGCGGCCTCGTCCTTCAACCGCCGGGTGCAGATCGACCTCTTCATGCACAAGGACACCTGGATTCTCCTGAATGTGGACGAGGCCACCCACTACAAGACAGCCGCGGCAGTCAAGTCCCGGGAACACCAGGAGTTGCTCAACAGCATGTTTCTTTCATGGTTCTCCATCTTTGGGCCACCGGCACAGTTGGTGATGGACCAGGAGACCAGCCTCATGGGTCACGAGGCCTGCCGGGAACTGGAAAGATTCAATGTGGAACGGGTGCCGAAAGGCACGACAGCAGGACCGGCAGGCCCCAACGCACTGGGGCCGGACTTGTTGAGCGTCACGTGGGCCTGATGGAAATTACCATGATGAAGCTTGAAGCTGAGCTGGACCGGCAGGGAATCGCGATCACCATCGGCGACCTTGCCAAGGAAGCGGCTATGGCTCACAACATCAGCCTCAACTACGGCGGCGCGACTCCCAGCATGTGTGTGTTTGGAGTGATCCCTCGGCCCTTCTACCAGGACGACAGCGCAGGAATCTCCACAGTGGTCGGCACCTTGCAGACCGACGTTACGCCGTTTGAGAAGGCGATCCGCGTCCGACAGATGGCTCTTTCGATGGTTCAACGAGCCGTGGCCGAGAACCGGATAGCGAGGGCGAACAGAACGCGCACGCATCAGCTCAAGATTGGCGAGCTGGTGCCCGGAGTCACCCGCGTGGACTTTCACAGGGAGACCCAAGGAGACGTGGGGTGGCGTGGACCAGCGGAATTACTGAAGATCAACAAGGACGAAGGCACGGCCATCCTCTCCTACCAAGGATGCCCGTATTTGGTCTCGCTCCGCCACATCCGGCCGCACCAGGCAGGAGTGTTTGTGGTTCTCAACAAGGAACAAGTTGGCGACCTGATGGAGCTCAAGCACTTGACGGAGAAGCTCTCGCCCTACAAGATTGTCACAATTGGCTGGGTTCCAGAAAAGAAAGTGAACTTGTGACCTGGAGGCGAGCGTCAACCAGTTCCCTCGCCTACTCGGAGGCCTGGCCCAAAATCATGAGATTAGCCTCCGGTCTTTCGAGACACAATGCCGGAGGAGCCATGATCGGCCAAGGTGTTCGTCAGATCCATCCACCTATGGGATCTTGCGGAGTACTCCTCTTGTGGATCCACGGCGACTCCGAGCACGCGAGCCACGAGCACAACAACGAGAAGCCGATCGTGCTGAAGAAGGTGACCACTCAACCAGTGGACAGGATGTGCTTCGTGTGTGTCTACTACTTCGTGAACATCGAGTATCGCCCCGAGAAGGCCATGAGAGTGGTTCCCTCCGAAGGAGCGACTGGAATTGAGGACGACGAGTACGAGAACCAGGCGGCGTCTCCGATGTCTACCGGAGCTCCTATGTCTATTTCCTCAGATCCGGCCTCTCCAGCGAGCTCCCCTTCGGCATCCATGGATGTCGGGGACACGACTGAGGACAGCTCCGGTAACAAACGAAAAGGGCCTGAGACGCGAACTGTGGTCCTAGCGCCAGAGGCTAAGAAAGGACGCCTGGGGCTCTTGCTGGATGTCATCAAGAGCGAGCAAGTGATCACCAAGGCCCAGCACAACCTCGTGAACCTCTGAGCGATGCACTGGACCCAGGCTGTCCCCACGGACTTCCCCATGGTCTGGTACGGCTGTGACAACAACGCACAGCTGGCTCAGTGGGACATCTTCATGTCTCGCGCCCACGATGCCTCCTCCGTTCCGGAACACCAGAAGAAGCCATACTTGTTCACATGGCCAGCGAAGCACTTCGAGGAACTCTATGCGGACCTCTCCAACGGCGAAATCTACAAAGTGGATGATGAGGCCGACAACATCACAGAGGACGAGTGCTACGACATCTGGCCACAAGTGGAGGAAGCTGATGCCGCGGAAATCAAGCAGTTTGTGGAAACCTCGAGCTTTCAAAAGATGCACGTGAACTCCCTCACTTCGGAGACTGTCATCATTGACAGTGTGTGGGTGCGAAAATGGAAGTGAATGCCGGACGGCTCCAGGAAGGTCAAGTCCCGACTGTGCGCTCGAGGATGCTTTGACAAGCAGAAGGACCTCCTCACGACCCGATCCACCACAGCTACCCGGCTTTCTCAGCGGATCGTGTTATCGGTCTCAGCAAACGAGGACTTGGATGCAGAAAGCTGGGACATCTCCGGGGCGTTCCTCAAGGGCCTCACCTTTGAACGTGTCCGGGAACTACTCAAGGCCAGAGGAGTGACCTCACCAGTGAGGAAAGTAGTCATAGTGGCCCCGGCGAACGTGTGGCGACACCTGGCGTCTTTCGACTCGAAGTTTAAAGTGGACTTCGACAAGTTGGGCGACTACGTGCTCTTCTGTCTCAAGCCCGTGTACGGCCTCTCTGATGCTCCACTGGCTTGGCAGCTGTGTCTACACGGCCATTTCGAGTCACAAGGAGGCGTCCCGTCGCTTATGGATGAGAACTTGTTCTATTGGAGGGACAAGAACAGTGGTCGCACCACCTCCCTGGTGACCACACACGTTGATGACTGTGGCGCTGGTGGCAAGAAGGAATGGCTCGCACGCCAACTACAACTACTTCAGGAGAAGTTCGGAAAGGTGACTCGCCAGGTCCTTCCCTTCAACCACTGCGGAGTTCTGTATGAGAGGATTCCCAACGGCTTCAGAATGTCGCAGGACAGCTTTGCCCTGAAGCTGAAGCCGGCGGAGATCGCAAGCACCCGAAAGGATGACGAGCTCCTCTCACCTGGCGAGGTGACTATGTTCCGGTCCATCCTGGGCGGCTTGCTTTGGCTTACGGCTACGCGGCTTGATCTGATTGCCGAAGTATGCTCATTGCAGGCACAGGTCACTCGTGCCAAGGTGGCACACCTACGACAGGCCAATGGCGTGGTCAAGCGGGCAAGACATGAGGCTGGACAAGGTATGGGCCTCTACTTCGAAAAGCTGGTCAGCCTGCTACGACTGGCATGTGTGCACGACTCCCCAGCCGCCGGGAATGTGAGGAACTATGCCCAGGAGGGCATATTGGTTTTGTTGTGCGAGGACCGCGTGGGCCAGTTCGACAGGGACTACGAGCACGTCTTGGACGACACACAGTGCCAGGCTCTTGGCGGGAGATGCCACATACTGTGGGCTCACGGGGCCAAGGCCAAGCGGATCAGCTACTCTACGTCTCATGCCGAGACTTTGGCAGCGGTCAGCGGACTGGAGGCTGGCACTTTGGTGTCGGTGAGACTCGCCGAGCTCCTCTACTCCCCAGAGCCTCCAACTCTCCAAAGTCTGATTGCGCAACAAGAACGGGGTGTCGAAGGACTTCCCATCGACTCGTACACCGACTGCCGCGACTTCTTCGAGCTAGCCTTCGGCGACAAGAATGCTCCTCAGGACAAGAACCAGCGGCTCTATGTTCTGTCCTTTAGAGAGGCCAGAATGTCCGGAAGGGTCAGATGGATGTGCTTGACCCCTCCGGAGTCGATGACGGCTGACGCCCTCACCAAGACGATGATCGCCGAGCCGATGATGAAGCTCCTCACCACGGGCTTGGTGCAGTTCTACAACCAGGAGAAGCACAAGATGACGCTGCGGGCGTTGCCTCGGATGGACTACATCGAGGAGCACCACTTCGACATGCGCGACCACGAGCTCATCAAGATGATCACGAAGCCTGCAGCCTCTGTCACGGCTTGCGTGACTTTTGTGAAGCCAAGGTTTCTATGCCTGGCTATCTTGGCGACTACGGCTTCGGCTACCACGACTTCATCGCCGTCTACCTCCTCGACCTCTGCCAGCTATGACGACGGCTGGAAGTGGATGATCACGATGGTCGCGATCATCATTGCGGCTGAGAGGATGCTGTGCGAAACAGCACGTTTGTGGTGGCGACGACTGCTACCAGCTCAGAGCATCGCCACGCCGGATGACCCGATGGATGTGGATGAGGCGAACTTGGATGCTCAGGACTCTGAGAAGCAGACCTACGCGGACCTCCTGCGACAGCTCAAGGATGCCGAACAGTCTATGGCTGGTCTGGGCCGGCAGCTGATGATGGCCGAGCACGAGGTGTGTCTCCGCAACAGCCGCATCGAGCGGATGGAAGATGATCTAAGGGCTCGCGACAGGGAGATACGACAGCTACGCGAAGACTGCGACCGTCTACAACGACCACTCCCGCGAGCCCACCTTCCGACTGAGCTCTTCGCTACCGTCGCGACCGGCCGAACTTTTCACAGAGACCGCAACTGCGGTCACATTCGCACTGCGCGTGTGCGCCAGATGAGGGCTTGCACAGACTGCACAGGTTGACCTTTTTTTTCGGGAACAAGAGCGGAGTGAATTCTTGAATGTGCAGATGTACAGTACTCCTAAAGCTCCGAAGGCATGTTCCACATATGTAAGCATTGCAGACCAGACGCGAATGACGCAGCGCGCTTGGGTCGAAGAAACAGCTGTTATCCATGTGTTTCGCATTGATGGAAGTGTCTGCCAGGCAGAAACCTTGGCAAGGGTCGCGCGATTCGGATACTGGCCCAAAGGAGGCGCGAGCAACTTCTTGGGGAACACTGCGGGATCAGGGCCGGGCAAAAAATAAGGGCTAGGGGCTGCTTTGCGGGTTTGTGCACTGTGGTGGACACACCTACCTGCCTGCCCCTACCATATTCTTCGTGACTGGGGTACTTCGCAACAGTTCCACAGTGCACTATGCACTATAGATCACCAAACACCATCAAAGTCCTAGTCCTATATTACGTATACGTTGCTGTGCGGCACACGTTAGCCTTTCGACGCCTGAGCTCTTTAGGGCCCGAACCGGATCTTGACGAGCACCTCCCAGAGCCTCCGATTAGGTCCCAGCGTCTACCGGATCTTCACCAGAGAGCAGTCGCCACATTCAATGATCCGCAAAGCATCTCATTAAATAGTATATAAGATCCAATATATACTACACAGCTACACAACATATCTATATAAACATAAACCTATACCTATATATATATATATATATATAGATAGATAGATATTGATTGAATATAACATTAGCTAGGTAGGTAGGTAGGTAGGTAGGTAGGTAGGTAGGTAGATAGAAGATATAAAGATGTAAAGAATGAGTACACTAAACGCCCGAGCAGGCCGGGGGTCGCGGCCGCCCCTAGCGGTGGCGCTGCTGGAGGTCACACTCCTCACTGGCAGGCTCGGGGCCTCCAGGACAGTCTGTTTCATGGTTTTTGTTTTTTTTCGGGTCTGGGGGTTTAGGGTCCAGGGTTTAGGGTTTAGGGAGGGGCGTCTATTTTAGGGTTGGGGGCGGCAGGGTTGAAGGGTTGGGGCTTTGGGGCTTTGTGGGTTTGGGTGTCCATGTTTGCGTTCAGCGCTTTACGGGGTTCTTGGGGGTCTCTGGAGATTCGGGCGGCTCTCGGGTTTGGGGTTTGGAATGTTGAGGATGAGGCAGACCTCGCGGTTGGCAGCGCCGATCCCGATCGTAGGACCTGCAGGGCTGCATGCAGGATGAACCCAAAGCGACATGCCCCCCGTTCAGGCCTCAACCAGACGATGGACTCAGAACCGCACCCCTCAGACACCTCCTAGATCCGAAAACTGTTACAACCCTCAAGCTCTAAAAACCCAAGAGGCCCCAAGCCTCAAAACCTAGAACCTAAAACCCTAAAGCCTTCAGCCTTCTAAACCCTTTTTCCCTGGGGCCCTGAGGCCTAAATCCCCAAAGCGCTGAAGCCCTTCACGCCCGAACATGCTTTCAGGCGTGACCAGGTCCTCTACACCCTAAAGCTCTATCAACATCCCAGACCCTTCCAACCCCAAACGCTATACCCTGTAGTGCCCTTAGACATCCCTTGTAGGAGCCCTTAAAGGAACAGGAACCCTTTCAAGGGCCCGCTTAAGGGTCTCTTAAGCCCCGAAACGCTCCATGCTTTGAGGCGCCACCAGATCCGTGTCCACCTCTCGGCGGCCGGCTACCCGATCCTCGGGGACGACAGCTACGGAGGCCACACAAGCCGAGATTAGGGTTTAGGGTTTAGGGTATTAAAGCTGAGGTTTGGGGCTTTAGGGCTTTCGTCAGGGTGGGGTTTGGTGTAGGAATGCGGCGGCTTTAGGGCTTGGCGGTCCAGGGTTTTGGGGGGTTGCGGCTTAAGAGGAGGGCTTTCCTGCTCTTGAGCTCTGACTCTAGGTTTGAGTTGCTGCTGCCAGAGCTGGGGGAAGCACACAAAGACCAGTGCCTGAAGCCAAAGGGCCCAAGTCCAGGGTTCAGGATGTTTCGGATTGGTGCTGAGAGTGTTAGTAAGATGAACCCAAGCCTCCTCACCAATCAATTCCAACAGATGCTCAACAGCGGCTTACCTGTAGCCGAGAGACCTACCTGTTTAGGGTTCCTTATTATGTAAACTTTAGCAACCTTCGCCCCAACCCTAAGCCCTCAACCCTAAGCCCTCGTTGCTCAATCTGAAGCTCAGCGTCGCAGTGCAGGGAATCCGTGGGGAGAACGTGCTGGCAGTTACCGCCGGCTCCTGAGCGGGCCGGAAGTGCTTCACGCCTTGCGGTGACGTCAGAACTCTCGATACTCGTAAATAAACTAATATAGGGGCCTCAATAATTACCTATATTATTTTTCAGGTTCCTTGTAAAAATTCTATTATAAGGGACCCCCAAACCCTATTCTAGTTATTAAGGGCTCTACATTCTGGTTCTGGGCATATTGTCATTGTACTACACATCTGTGAGGGACTCTCAGGGGACACGATCAGCAGGGGATTTGATTGGCTGGTTATGAATGGAGCTATACACACGGTTTAGGGTTTAGGGTTTAGGGACACCCCAACTGAGGTTGCTCCATTGTTTCTGATTGCCGGATCAGGATGAGGATTTCCATTATTTACAAGAGCAGGGTAAGAGATTTAACGTTGCAGCTCGGGTTTTTTTGGGAGTGTAGCCAAGAGCCGGAACCGTAAACCCTCAAATTACACCCTCGGAGCTGTATTGACACATTGTTCTTGCATTCCCAACTCACTGAGGACTCCTGAGATCCCGCACCGAAAATCTTTGAACCTTTGAGCCCCAACTCCAACCCCTGAAGCCCCGAATCTAAAGCTTCATCCTAAACTCAGATTGATGTTGGGCTTCGCTGAAGGAGGGGCTTCGGTACCTGCTGGATTTGAGAGGCATGTTGCAGATCCTCGCAATCGCATGATGCGATACTCGGTAAGGGTTTAGGTCTAGGGTTTACGAAAGATCGAGATCCTACTGTGTCGTACTACGTTATCCTCAACTCCCTTAGATTATTAGCAGCTAATGTCGGGTTTGTAGGGAGAAGGAGAGCCCCTAAACCCTACACTCCAAACAGCACGCTAAACCCTAAACCTCACCTGTCCCTTCCACCGGTCTTGCTGAGAGCCCTGGAGAATCTCAGGTATGTTCCTCCATTCGCACCGCTTGGTGCCTGTCCAAAGACCTGCTGTGTTGGGGGGTTCCGGGCGGTTTCGGGTTTTGGGGTGTAATATAGGGGCCTAAATAATTACCAATGCTATTTTTTGGGCTCCTTCTTATAATTATAGTATAATATACCCCCCAAGCCCTATTCTAATTATTAAGGCCCCTAAACCCTAAACCCTTATAGTACCCCTTATAATATCCCTTAAAGGCACCCTTAAACGGAACCCTATGAAACCCTATTCTAATTGTTTTGAGGGGAGGATGGGAGGGCCTGGAATCCTTTAGTTTATGCTTCGATCTCAAGGCTCAACCCTCTTACGACCCTCAAAGGACGTAACAACTTTAATATACGCTGAGCAAAAAGGCCTGCATGCGTGTCGTCCTTGCGCAGGGGCCATGCTGGAAACTGAAGCTCCAACACTAATTATTAAGGCCCCTAAAGTAGGGTCATCGTAATGGACTCTCCCGCTGCTTGGGATGGAGTCCCAGATCCTCCGCTCGAAACCACAGAAGCCGCACCGTGGACTTCTCGAGTTTTCGTGGAGTTGAAGGTTTGGGTTTAGGGTTTAGGGTTTAGGGTTTAGGGTTTAGGGTTTAGAGTTGAAGGTTCCACCAGCAGTACTTGGAGGTTCAGGGGCAGTTATAAGTGGGGTTATAAGTCCCCTAATTTGGGTTATAACTACACTTACCCTACTTATAACCCCACTTATAACTACCCATGAGCCTCCAAGTAAGTCTTGATCACCGAATCAAGGTAGCATGATGGGTCGAACCCGATGCCCAAGACCCAAGCCCAAATCCGAATTCGAGAGATGCAACGGGTTGTGGCAAGTCTCTCGTTTGGTCGTTCCAAGCATACAGTGTGACTATAATCAAAAAAGCCTGGAACCCGAAACCCTGATTCCCCAATTCCCAAAATCCCACATTGCGTTCTGTCGAGCTCAGGTGTTGCCGCTGCCAGGAGCCGAAGCCGTCATCGAGGCGCTGTCGGAGGGATTCTCTTGGGTTCACAGCTTCGGGTCTGGGGTCTGCATTTTTTTGGAATAGGGTTTCCAGATGACTTTTGTTGTGTTTGCAGTCACATCATATCGACCCGCGAGTGTTTGTGGTGACGACTGTCGAGGACCATATGACGACGACGCGCTTGCTAACAATTAGAATGATATTCAGCATGGTCGTGCTAGTGCGGGTGATCACAACAGCAAGCGAAAGCACCCGTAACTGGCATTACCGCATAGCGGACCATGCGAGCAATCTAGGACCTAGGAAAGCTCTGAGCAACGATCATAGCAACAATCACGCTTCGCCCGCCGGCAGACTTGTACTCCAGTTCGCTTGTCCTTCAGCTCTCCCTCTCCCTGATGACGATGGGTCGGTGCTGAACATGCTTCTCAGTGGTGGATGGTCGTGAGGGTGATAGTTGTTGTGATGGTGGGAATTGAATAGTTGATGCTGATGTCGAGGATGAGGGTGATGGTGATCGCAATGTTTTCAAGGTGACGATGGTCATGATGGTTTGGTGAGATCGCGCTGTTAGCCCCCCTCAATGCCGATGGCTGGCTATCCCAGTGCCCTTCGCGCACACATGCCGTCGACAAACCATGTATGTCATCCGATGGCTACTACATGTCAGGCTCGCAAAGCTTTGAGCCTGGAGCCCGACTGTCCTTTTCCGAATAAGCCTTGCGCGATTTTTTAGGAGGGTGTTGTGTGGCCAAGGTTCGAGGGCAAACCGGCTGACGCAGACATGAACACCCGAAGCCTAAACCATCCTAAACCAAAGCCGAAACCCTAAACCCCACTGTAAAGCAGGGAGGAAAAGAGCAGTCAAGAAAAAAACGCCCAAAACTCCAGACCCAAAACCCTAAACCCCAAGCGCGAAGGCTTGCAGCCCCAAGCCCAGGCCCTAAGACCCGCACCTCGAAACCGAAGTGCAGGCACCGTGCAGCTTCGATGCCGAGATTTCGGCCGGGAGCTCAAGGCTCGGGTTTAGGGGTTTAGGGTTTTAGGGTTTAGGGGATTTAGGGTTTTTCCCGGATTTAGGGTTTAGGGTTTAGGGCTGAGGGAGATTATGAATGTTATCGCTAGCTTTCTTCGTATAACTTGTGTTGTGCTTCTGGTTTTTCTGCTAGTATTGCCATGATGATTATTACTTCAACTGCTGTTGAGCTACTACTTGAACGTGTGTGTTGTTAGGTGTTGTAGGGTTTACAGCATTGTGTAGGATTCCGGCTATGATCTTGGCATACAGGGTTCTAGGCACGTGTGCTTTTGTCGTTCACAGACGTTGCATAAGCATGCACACCGAAGAAACAAAGATTTAACGGCTTAGATCTCTGTCGTGAGGGCTTGGACGTTGCCGCACGGAAATCGTCGTCTGTCGGCTGTCTTTCGGCCCTTGTGGTGGCTTGGTTCCGTTTCGAACATGTGGCCACCGAATGGCTCCAATAACATGGGCCGCTTTGACAAGTTGCAGTC